TCCATTGCTGGGGAAGTGAGTAAGGAAAGTATGGTGGAATATCCTGCTGAAAGTAGGAGCAATAAACTAGATGTACACACAACCTAAATGGACAGAAAAATAGTGCCATGGGAAAAATAACACAGTATCATGTAAGCAAAAAATTTAAGCTTAAGAAAATTATATCTCTCATATATCATATGTACCTGAAGGAAACAAATAAAACACATTTGAATGATTAAAATGCTAGTAAAAAGGAATAGTAAATAAAAATACAAGGAAATAAAAGAAAGTAGAGTGAAAATTGCTGTGGAACAAGGGAAGTGAGCCATAAACTGAAGGATTAACTCCATGCTTGAGGATACAAAATGAGAAGGAAAACAAAACAAAACAAAGCAAAAAAAAAATGAAGGAAAAAGATAATGAAAAAAAAGGAAAATGCTTAAAATAAAAAGAATTTTATCTTCAGCACAAAAGTAAAAATTCGACAATGTATTATATATAAAAGGATATCTCAAGGAAAGTGGCTCAGCAAAGTTAAAAAAAATGACAAAGATATATCAAGGCAAACAGCACTGAAGGCTAAATTATATGTCTCTTCCAAGCCTCATAAATCTTTGGAATTAAATATTACAACAGCAAAATACTTGACACACGGACTTCAGGAAAGCAAAAGAGAAATAAACTTAAGCACAATGACAATAACAAATGACATCTGTAGACCCAGTAGATCAAGTGAATAAAAAATAAGGAAGTGCATGATTTGAATGGTATGATGAATGAAGAGTTACTGAGAATTCACCACCGTTTAAGTCTTCGTGGGCCATCTACAAAAATTGACCATATTTCAGGGCACAATGTTACATATGCAATCAGTTTTTGTTTGTTTGTTTGTTTTTTTAGCATTGAAGATTGAACCCAGGGCCTTTGTGCTGAGTTACGTTCCCAGCCCTTTTACATTTTTAAATTTTGAGACAAGGTCTTGTTATGGTGCCCAGGCTGACTTTGAACTTTGATCCTCCTACGTCAGCCTCCCAGAGTGCTGGGATTACAGATATACATCTTCACACCTGGCTCAAATTATTAAACAAACAAACAAACAAACAGAGAATTATGGAAAAATCTTGTCAAAAGGTAAGTTTTAAAAATATCTCTTTAAATCAACTTTGAGTTCAAATAAAAAATAGAACTGATACTAGAGACTGAAAAATAAAGATAATAAAAAGACTACATAGATAAACTTGAGGGCTATAACTAAAATTGTTCTCAGGGAAATTCATTAAACACTTGGAAAGAATATCAATAAGAAAGAATGGAAATATGAAAAAAGTGTTGATTTTCAGAATTGAAGAAAATATCAATAAAACTAAGATAAAATGGATGCTAATGAATTAAACAAAGACTCTCACAATAGAATATATGAATAAATTCAAAAGCTTTTCCATGAAAAGTAAATAAAAAGCCACTGAATAGCTTAATCAAGAAAGAAGGGGTAATGAAATGTACAGCCTTTGAAAACCTACACTGAATGGGTGATTTTTCTAGGAAAATATGAGTTATCCAATTTTATGCATATGAATTATCATATTTTATGTACATGAATTAAAAAATTTATTTTATTTAAATGAATAGAATAATATCCATGCAAAACATTGAGAATATTGTTAGGGAGCCACAACATCAAACATATCAGGTCAGATGATTTCACATTCATTTTTTAAAAATCTTCAAGGAAAAGATAAATTTAGTAGTATTTAAATTTTTTTTTTGTTTACAGAGAAAGAAAGCTGCTAACATAATAAGAAACCAATATAGCACAGATATCAAAGCTTTTCAAAGCAATAATAAAAATCCACAGGTAAATTCTTATTATGCTTCTATGCAAAAGTCTTATATAAGATATTATCAAATAGGATTCAGCAAGATATTAACACATATCACACCCAGGTATCATTGCAAGAATAACTCATGTTTAGGATATCTATTAATATAATTCATTATATTAAGAGAAAAGGGAATAGAAGCAACACCACAAAGATGCTTAAAAAATTCAACATCTACTTATGACTAGACAGTAAACAAAATTGTTGTTAATTTATATAATGGATAATCTTTTGATAATTATACATATATAAATTAAAAGCAAGCATCATGGTTAATGGTGAAACAAAAAAGCATACATGTGATATCTGTAAACAAAGCAAGGGTGTCTAATATCATCACAAATAACATTGCTCTAGCAAAGCTGGCTGATGCAATTAGGAAGGGAAGAAGCATGAGTGCTATATGGGTAGAAGCAGCAGAGTGATCTTACTTGTAGATATGATTATATATCTTGAACACCTAAGAGAATTAATGGAGAATATTAGAAATGATAAGAGAACTCTGTGAAATACGTGGGTACAGTCCCAATGAAAATTCCCCAAGCCCCAGCTTTTGAAGCTTTACGTACAATATGAGCTAATATATAAAACCTAGAATGTGATATATATTCAATAAATTATCTATCCATATAGACATCTAATCTGGAGAAAAATATATATCACTTTTCTTCTCCCTATATCCACCCAGATTCAAAAGATAACTACCATTTTGTTGTTTTTTGAGATATGGGTCTTGTGATGTATTTCAGTCTGGCCTTGAACTCACAGTGCCTAAGTGTCCAGTCTGCAGTGAAGTACCTGAATGGCTACTGTGGCTGCACATTTAAGCCCCATCCTCCCATTAGTCATTGTGTGTTAAGTAAAGCTAATATGTTCTACACTTGATCTTAGCCAAAAGGCCGAGAAGCGATAAAGCTACTATGTTCTTAAAAAACGAATTAAAGGACTTTTTTGAGTCAGGACTACTTATTTTCTTTCTTCCTTCCTTCCTCTCTCTCTCTCTCTTTCTTTCTTTCTTTCTTTCTTTCTTTCTCTCTTTCGACAGGGTCTCAATATGTAGTTCAGGCTGCCCTCGAACTCACTAGGTAGCCTAGACTGGCCTCAAACATGCAGTGATGCTTCTGCATTGGCCTCCTGAGTGCTGGGATTACAAGTGTGCATCACCACATCTGTAAGGATTTGCTTTCTTGAGAGGGTAGTTTTAGGGTACAAAACTTTAGTGTAAATTTTTTACACGTCTTAGCTTCAAATTCTTTTGACACTAAAACTGCCCCTCCAGAAGGCCTATATGTACGTATGAATGTTTCTTTATGCACATTTTCTGTACCTATGGAATTTCTGTTAAAATTGCTTTATTAAATTTAATAAACACCACAAATAATATGCAGTTATCAGAAAAATAAGTTCAAATATGTACTTATTCATATATATTTATATATTCATAAAACCTTTTCAGATGTATCAGGAAGTAGTTGCTTCTAAACATTAGAATTTCAGCTGATTTTTCCTTTCTTTTTTCTTTTATTTTTTATGTAACACTTTTCTAATGTGTTTTATACCTACAATTTAAGCAAATATTTTAAAAAGATTATTTTTAAAGATAGCTTCCTTCCAAGTCACTTAAAAATGAAACTAAACACCCACAATTTTCTTTTATTTCATCTGTATTATTTATCTACATTTCTACCAGACGTAAGGCCCAGTTCAGCTAAGTTCATTCCTTTCTGGCTCCATCTCAAGCTGCTACAATTGCTCAAGGAGACAGCATGGAATCCTCAGGCAGATCTGGGGCACCTGGACGAGATGCTACTGTGGGAGGACAACTTCCCCAGGCCTGTCCTCTTTGGGAGATGGATTTTGCCTTTAATGCAGCAGGGTGAGACTTTGGTCCAGGAGAGCAGTGTTCAGAGTCCTGCTGAGGGTGAGTCACAAGCAAAGTCATTCAGTCTGCAGGGAGCTGTGGGGTCCTCTAGGTATGTGAGGCCTCAAAGGAGAAAATATGAGGCCTGCAGGTTTCCAGTGTCCAGGTCTTCAGAAAGTACCAGGCTAGAATGCTGTAGAGAAAAGGGGAAGAAGGGTAAGGATGGGCTGAGCCGGAAAGAATTGTCTAAACACACTCAGGGATTCCCCTAAAGAGAAGTGAGGCCTGGAATGAGGAAGCAGGCCAGCTGGAGCCTCAGAAATCAGGCCTTGTGGCTTCTTCTCAGGCCTCACCCTTTACAAAAGGCTTTTCAGAGTGTGTGTTGTTTGATTTTTGTCCCAACTCAGTGGGGAAGTTGGACTAGATGTTATCCCACTGTTTTTGGGCAAAGATACTGAGCTTCAGAGAAGTTTACTTATACATCTACTTTTAGGGCTGGTAAGTGAGGGAGGCAGCCTCTGCACAGCTGACTCCAAATACCAGATCCTTTCCAGTGCCCCATACTGACTCTAAGCCACAGCTATGACAAGCTCCTCAAAGTGGACATGGGCCCATTGGTCCTAATGATTTTCCTTCTCACCAAGCTAGTATGAAAGGGTAGTATGTCTGGCCCATGGGCTTGGAGGGCTCCATGGAGGTGGGAGGAAGGATCTCCCCAGCTTCCATACCATTCAAGGGCTGCATGGAAGCTTTGAGACCTTCAGAGGCCCTAAACTTTCTTCAGTTTACCTCCACCCTGAAGGAGCTTTGTCCTATACAGTTTGTGGCCTGACTTCTGTGGCAGATTCAGCATCCTTCCAACAGCCCCTCATCCTCTCCAACTAGAACCTAGGACTTCATTCTGATGAACAGAGTTGTTTAGGAAAGAGCTCAGAAAGGTCAAATAGATATAGAACAATGCAAACAGTGTCACTTTGATTAAGACCACTCAAATTGTATAATTCTATGGTTTCATAATTATTTTCTTGGCATCATGTCCCAATCCACAAGCTCTTTTGAGAGGGCAGATGAGGACTAATAATTTGAACACATAGGAGAATCCTTTATGACTCTGGCCCAGTTTAATGTGAACTAATAGTGTTGCCTTGGCCACAGGCTGCTGTAGAATGGATGAGTGGTTCTAAAAGGAGAAAGGGGCAGCAGGGACTGGTAAGGAAAATTGGAGGTGGCAGCCTAAGGAAGAGGCTCAGAGCTGGGTCAGGCCCTGGGTAACTCTGTCATTGCCCACCTTCACACATGACCCCTGCATCCTCATCATGTCCACAGTCAAAGGCCTCCACCTGCTCACACTCAGCCAGGGCCACCTCTGTCCCACTGCACAGGGACACCTGAACGAGCACAGACAGGGCCTCTTCTGCCACAGGTGGATACAACATGGCTACCGGTGTGTGTTTGGGTGCTCCACAGCCCAGCTCCCGGCACACCACTGCCACATCCTTCATGTCCCAACCGTCATCACACACGGTGCCCCAGTGACCTTCCTGTTCCACCTCCACTTGGCCTTCACAGCGGTGAGGACCATTAGTCAGATGGACTTTGGGTGGGGCCTCTGCAAATGGAAAGGGTTAGCATACCCTGAGGAATGTATGTACTCCCAGCAGCTCCCAGTGTAGAGAGAGGTTGTCTGATGGCAGTGGTATTTGTGTGCGGTGTGAGGCAGGGGATTGGGTAAAGCAGGGAATGATCAAGCTTTGCCTTTTCCCTACCCCATTGCTATGTCCTACAACCATCTCATCTCACCAGTGGCTCCACTGAAAGACACCTAGGAAAATGAAGAAAAACAGACTTGCATTGGATTCTCTGGGCTTCAGAAGTCTTAGAGAGAGAATTTTGTCTTTCTTTCCTAGAATTGGGTTGAGGACTAAAAACGGTTCCATACCTCACTGATGACTGCACCACCCACACTCATCAACTGCATTTTCTCTGCACAGAGTAAAATATGCACATCCACGCCCACTGGTTTATCTCTAACCTCTGCCTTTTTTCTAAACTGGAGTCATCTCTGGCAAAAAGGACAGATATAAATCTAGAGCAGTCAAGGGGCAAATTGAGAGTTAATTAAGGAATCCAGAGGAAAGAGGGGATAATTCAGAGCCCTTGGATCCAGTTCCACCTAAAACCCAGTCCATTCCCAACCTTCCCACCAACATCACATTTTTGGCAGCATTCTGCTCCAGTCAATCTGTATAGGACTTCTATCATTTGCAGCCAAAATGCTCTGTGTCATCAGTCAATTACTAAGCTCATAGAAAAGGCCCTGAAAAAGGTAGATATGAAATCATAGGTAATAATGAGAACAAAATTTTCAAAAATGATAGGTTAAAGGGAGGAAACACATATAAGACTTTATAAAGAGTAAATAAATTGAGAAACTAACTTACTTTAATATTAAGCTAAATACTGGACTTTGTATTTTATTCTCCAGACCAAAAAAAATTCATGTTCTTTTAAACTTCTATGTAGAATATTTATATTAGTTGACTGCCAATTAAAAGATCAAGAAATTCTAGTATTTTCCCCCAAATAAAAATTGTATAAGCCACACTTTTCAATAAATGTTAAACACAAGAATAACAAAGGAATACCAAAGAAATTAATAAGACACAGGTTAAAAATAAAATCTATTTGTAAGAGATTATAAATTCCAGGTTGTTAAAAGAAATGAAACTCCACACTTTAGACACTAAACAAATGTAAATATTATGGAGCAAAACTTTTAGGAAAAGGTAAAAGTGGTACTTAGAGGTGAACATACAATTTTAAGTGCATTTATTAGAAAATAAATAAAGATAAAAATTAATGTTTAAGAAATTAAAGAAAAAGAAACAAACTTAAAATAAAAAAGAGGAAAGAAATACTGGAGATAAAGGAGAAATAATTGAATCAGAAAACCAAAACCATCTGAACAATGAAATTATATAAATTTGAACAATAAAAATAAATCTGACTCTTTGGAAAGAGCAATGCAACAGAAAAACTTCTGGCAAATATAACAATAAAAAAGAGATCACACAAGCAAACACATTAGAACTGAAAAGAGCATAATCACAAATTATGATGACTCTTAAAATTCAATGAAAACAGTATGTGATAAATTTGAAAATCTAGATAAAATACACTTACCTTTCTTAATAAGAGCATCTAAATTGTGTTTTTAAAAATTGGAAAATTTGAAAAGACTAATGCAAAAGATTTGACAATGGAGGTTAATAGTACCAGGCTTCTAAAGTTATTTGGGCTAGTTTCCCAAAGACTCTTCAAGTGGCAGAGAATTCCAGTATTGCTTTAAATTGCTGCAGAAATGATGGAAACTCCTGAAATCATTCTTATGAGTCTAACCTATCCTTGAAAATGAAAAAAACAAAAACAAAAACAAAATACACCTCACTTTTAAATAGGATGCAAAGGACTAGCGTGCATCTCTGTGGTAGAGGGAATGTTTCTCATGTGTGAATCTTGCTTGCAGTCTTCAGCACCAAGTAAACAAATGAACAAGATGTAAAAATTTGAAATAAAACATTGGTAAGTTGTATATAGTTATGATCTATCATGACTAAGGAGGGTTTATAGGGCGAATACAATGATTGCTCCATATTGGGAAATCTATTAATACAATTATCCACAACAAAAGATTAAAGGAAAAAATATGTACACAACATGATATATTAACATGGTGGCAAAGAGCAAAGTTTCTTGATGCTGGCAGCCCTGGTCTAAAGTTCCATCTTTATACCTATTCAGTGTATTCCTATTAAATAACCTTGGACAAGTTACTTAAATCTAAATTCTATTATTGCATTTATAAAAGAAGAACCAATGTGGAGATTAAATGAGATAATCCTAGTAAAAATCTAAATCCCATAATCTGTTTTGTCCATGGATTTTCTGCTTTTTCCTTAAGTATCTTTAAGGATTAGTTACGTCTCATTTACTGTGAGCTCTGAGTGTGCAAAATCTTTCCTAACTTTTCCTCAGGGATGTCTTCCTCTTCTCTCTTTGTCTGACCTACTCCTTACACTGACCTGATATCTGCACAGTGCCCTACAAACTATTTCACACATATCTGATTATTTAAGTGAAAGGGAACAAAAGGGGAAGTATTGGACAAGCATTAGGCAAGTGATACTGTTTTTAAGAACAAAAGAAAGACAGTTGTGTTGGCACACACCTGTAATGCCAGCATTCTGGGAGGCTGACACAAGAGGATAGCAAGTTTGAGCCCAGCCTAGGCAACTTGGTGATTTAGCAAGACCCTGTCTTTAAGAAAAAACAAAATAAAACAGAAAACACCTCTGGAGATTTAGTTGCGTGCAACTGCTGTGGAATCAATTCCCAGTACCTTTGAATGAAATGAAATGAATGAATGAATGAATGAATGATACAGCACTTGAGTGAACTGATGGGCTCCTTAGTAGAACTCTGATTCCTTGAGGGACAGGAGAATCCAGTGGAAAGGAAGCACAAACCATTACTTGGTATAACTGCAACTAGTGCTCTGGAAGATAATTTAGCATGTCCCACCTGGGACAGTAAGTGTCACCACCTCACTGCGCTTGGGTCCCCAGCCATTGTCAGCCTCACAGGAGTAGTTCCCAGAATGGCTTGCAGCCGCTGAGAAGTTGAGGGATGTTCCTCCTCCAGAAGGTGCTGAGATGCTCCCCCGAATGATGTCTTCATGATAGAACTGGTACAGAATGGGGGGTGAAGCTCTCAAGTCTTCACAGCGGAGCTCTACCACTTCACCAATAAAGACCATGACTCCAGGAGCACTAATGGTGAGAAGAGGGCTCAGGGCTGGAACTGACAGAGGCATCAGGGTCCATCAGGAAGGTGTCATAGCTCACAGCCCACCTGCCTTCCTTAAGGGTCCTCTCTGTACCCTCACTTCCCTAGATTTTTTCCCATGGTTGCACCTCCTGATCTAATCCTGCAGCGATAGCTCTAGTACAGCTTTGCTGATATGAAGAGCTATGACTCTGCCCACCGTGTAGCCTGCCTCCTATTCTACCTTCATCCCTCCTTTAGCTCCTTGGCAACTGCTGCCAATGCCACCACTGCCATCACAGCAACAACCTTGCCTTATTAATGGCTTCTTACTCTTCAGGCTCTGTACCTTGACATCTCCTTTATCCTCACCGCCCCAGAAGGAAGCTGACCCCAGATGGGAATGGCTGGCTAGCTGAGAGCATGGTACTTGCTTCTCACAGTTATGTTCACTGCCTTGCTCTGAACGGGGCCATAGCTGTTGTCAGTTGTACAGTAGTAACTCCCGGCATGACTCTCCTCGATCACAGGGATCTGCAGCTCTGCTCTCTGGGAGTGCTCACGTTTTGCCCCCAGACTCTCCTTTGTATCTTCCTTGTACCAGTAGAACATGATGTCCCCTGTGCCTTCCGCCACAGAACAGACAAGAATCAGCTTCTCCCCCTTAACTGCCTGGCCTCCTGGGGGAGAGGTCTCCATGGAGACTCGAGACACAGAGATCCCTGCATGAAGAAGAGACAGCAGGTGAGGGCCAGTGTGGGGAAGGGAGGGAAGAGGAAAGGGCAATTTGAGCATTATGGCAAGTGGGTCGCTGGAACTGAATGTTTAATCAGAGGAGAGTCCACCCTTCCCTATTACAGGACTCCCCTTAATTTACTCCTCAGTAACAATCCTGCCCTGCACTTACTCTACATTCGTTAGCTCTCTCTGACTGCAGCCTGCAGTGACCTCCTTGTACTTGGGGAAGTAGGAGCAGCAGGAAGGGAACAGACTAGACAGTTGGCTTACCTAACTTACACCTCAGCTCTGCAACTTGTTCATTGCATGATCCTTAGTTTTCTCAAACATAAAATACAGACATCACACTAACCTCACAGAGTTTTGAAGATTAAGTGAGGCACAGATATAAAGCACCTCTTGCATGGAAGCTGTTAAGCAACACCTGTTATGAATGCCACTCTCCACTGGTGGGATGGGGTAGGAAAGGCTGCAAAGTGGTTAAAAGCCGCACAGTGAAGCCACAGTGACTGGGTTCAAATTCCAGCTCCACATGCTGGGTCATCTAAGGCAAGTCTCTTCACAGTTAGCTGCCTGCAGTTTCCTCATCTGTAAAATGGGCAATGTAACAGTACCTGCTTTGTAGGTACTATTCACAGTACTGTTACTTATGGCTGCGGTGACAGTCAAATATTAAACTTCTCCGAGCAGCACCACGTATGTGGTAAATGTCTGTGAATCTTCTCCTTTGTAGATATTTATGAGCATCAGAAAGGCTTTTGTAGAACTGAGCACAACAGCCAAGGTTCAGTCCTGGCATATATTAAGCCACATAGTAAATACCAGAGATTGTTACTGTCATTTCTATTATTATTTTTACTATAGAGCTTCATTGCTCTACCTGGATCAAATGTGCCTCTCAGTTGAGGATCATTTCTTGCAGATAGAGGCCATGATTTATTTACCACTTGGTCTGCTGAGCATACCTCAGCACTAGTTGTAGGGTATGTACCAGAGAGATATTATTATTGTTATTTTCCTGACAGAAGAACAAAGATGTTTGGAAGTGATGCCTCTGCAGAAATTAATAGAAAAGAGCCCAAGTGAGCCATGGTAGCCCCCACACCCACAGGGATCAGAAAGCACAGTTGACAAATGAGCCCACAGTTCAGCTGGTGCCCTAACCCAGCCCTGGTGGCCCAGCCCACTGATGCTCACTCTGCACACTTATGTAAGATTTGCTACTCCGCTTCGAGATATTGTCCCCGAATGCCTTTGCCTCACACCAGTAATACCCCGAGTCTTCTTTCCTTATTGCTGAGATCTCAAACTTTGATGACCACTTTTTCCAACCTAGGGTACTGTAATCTCTGTTGAAGTCGTAACGAAGAGAGATCCATGACCTATCTGAAGGGAGCCTAGTGTCACAGGACAGGGTCACTGAGGTTCCTTCTATAGGCGAAGAAGTGCTGAATGTCAATGTAGGCTTTGGAAACAGCTCTAGAGAGGAAAACAGAACAGAGACCCCCTGAATGTGGAATTCCTGATAAGTGGCCCAGGTGAGCAAGGCATGCAGATCTAGACTCAAGGACACACGACCCACTTACCACTTCTCCCTCCCTGGGTGGTCTCCTCTGCCCTATACCCTGGCCCTCCAACAACAACCTTACTCCTTCCCAGACTCATCCACTTGAAGAATGAGGCCCTCACCTTGGACAGTGAGCCATACAGATCTTGTTTCTTCAGTACTTTTTATAAACCAGAAAATCTTCCTATCTGCCTTACAGGAATAGGAGCCGCCATCACTGGTTCTTGCATTCAAAATGGTATAGCTCAAGGCCCTGAGGTAAGTAGCTATCTGATATCCATTCTTGTAGTACACTAGTTTCTTTATGGCATCATTGTTTTCCCCGGAACAACTTATAGTCACATCGTCTCCTTCATAGGCCATGTGCGGCATGCTGATGTTCAGCCAATCTGCAGAAGAAGCAAAGAAAACTTGCACTGGCAATGCTGCTCCCCACCGCGGTGCTCTGGCTCTCTTCTTGAAGGGAAGGGATAATGCTTTCCACATGAGTTGAGGAGCTGGGCGCCCATGGTCACCTTTGGGTCTGTTGGCTCTGTTAGTATCCCTGCTCAGCACAGGTGAGTTTCAATGCCTTTTAGTGACATTTGTGTCCTCCAAACATCTTGTTAGTTTTATGTCTGCTAATGGGTTTTGATGCCATTTTGTCTGACTGCCAGCAGTGGACTAAATATGGGTTTAAAATGATTCTCTGTGACTCTCCTTACATCCATTCAAAGTGACCACATGTCCCCATGGGAGCCATGATCAACACTCTGCATATCTCATTCCTTAGAGACTCTGTTTGTGTAGTGGTACAATCACCTCAAAGACCTTCCCTTTGTAGCTCTCCCTAGATGAAACAAACTGGGCCCTTGGATCTACATCTTCAGTCTCTAGAGTTCTCCTTTTTCAGTGGCTTCTGGAAATCCTTTCTGTGTACTGGCCTGGATGATCCCCATAAGAAAGGACGTGGGGTCCTCTGCTTCTTCGGGTCACTACCTCCCCTTGGAAGGTAATGATCACCAGAGAACTGCTGAGAAGCTCGTGTTTTGGCTTTGACCCTAGCAGAGAAAGAAAACACAGCAGCATGGGGAGAAGCTGTAGGCTTCTCCTTGCAGAAGGAAAGGAAACCCAGCCACCATGCTGCTCTGTGACCCAATGCTGCAGCTGTGGGCTTTCTGAAGAGCATTTCAGTTGGTAACAGAGATAGAAATATAGGTTCAAATGTCAGTTTATAATTGCAGTGCATTGGGCTAGATTGCAGGAAAAATATTGTTCTGGTAAAAAACAAAACAAAACAAAATCCCTAATGCCAGGCCTGCAGATTGGGCATTTCCCTTCAGTGTACAGAGCGGACACAGAGGAACATAATACAGGAAGGAAACAGGATCTGGGGTATTGTTCAGGTGGCCTGCCCAGCTTATTCCTCTAACCATGAGTTTACAGGATTGGAGCAGCTCCTGATGTCGGCTCAAAAGAGAGACCAGGTTCTCAAGATTTGGTCTAGGTACACAGTCCCCAAGGAAGGGTCTATAAAGAGGTGGGGAAAAAGCACTTAAAACATCCATAGTACATTAGACATTTTTTTCATCTTAAATTTTCTGTTTTTGTGTATATTCAACCATGCTCACAATATTTCAATATAGGATCTATATAATATATTGGAGATACATGATCAAGTGACCAGATAAATTCAAAGGAGCTGGGGGTGGTGGTAGAGGACACAAGGATCGATGAAGGGAGAGAAGTGTTGGAGGCCAAACGTTTTCTTCCTACGTGTTGAGACAGGGCGAGATTTTCAGTGAAGAGTATAGTGATACAATCGGTTTGGTTAAAGAAATATTTGAGGAGAAAGACTTACGTGTCCAAGTTGATAATAATGACAATGAGAGATAAAGTAAAAATGCTGACCTGGATTATAATGAGTCTGGAAAAAGGATTTAACTGTAAGATACCTCAGTTTGTGGTCTTTAGCTTTTGCTATAGATCCATTTTCTACACGCAGGCACAATAGTGCGTACGCACACATTTTGTCATCATTTTAGAGACGTTGCTGAATCCTTTGAGGCTCTCTAGAGACCCCCACCTAACCAATCAAAGAACACTGCTGCTTAAAATTACAGGCTTAGGTATATAAACATTACCACCCTTTCCTATTATAGAATGAAAGTGTTCTCAAAGGCACAACTAAAGAAAATGTAACTTTTCAGTCTACTATGAAATCAAGCTTTCTTCTTTGTTTTATTATAGTAAAACTCTAATGAGAAAAAAGAACAATAAGTTAAGCACTGGATAGTTTACAGGTAAAAGAGCCAGGGGCATTCTCGTTCTATGCAGAATAAATTCTTAGCCTCTTATTGCTCTCTTTTATAAACAAATTTTCCATCCCTGTTTCCAGTGTTTCTGGTGGAGCCTTTGAGAACCCATGGCCAGAACCAGGAGGATGTATCTCCAACAACATAGTGCATGGTTTGCTTTCTTTTCGGTTATCTTCTTTCCTGTTCCAGAGCTGAGCAATAAAAGGAAGATAATTCGTTGCCCTGAGAGGGTCAGGGCATGGTTCTCTTGCTTATCAAGCAGAGAGGTGGTAGAGGAGAGATGAATGTGACACTGAAGCAGCCCTGCCATTGTGGGACATGGATGAGGAGAGGGGTCAAGAGTAAGACTCCAAGTCTGACTCCCTTGTCTTAGCCCAGGACCCTGAAGGGTGTAGCCAAGTGTCTGGGACAGGCAGCACCTCCCATGCCTGCAGAGATCAAAAAACAAGAAAAGAGTAACTCACCAGACTGGATGTCAACAGGAGCTGTGGGGGAATAGAGTCAGAGAGGTTACCACAAAGAAGTCCAGGGTTCTTATGCTTTTTATAAAGCTATAACTCTTTGAGAACTTCCCAATAATTCTTCCCTCTCTTTATTTGTGTTTCTTTCAGTCCCTCTTTCTTCCCATACATCCTCCTCCCCTAATTTCCTCTATTTCTTTTCCCCTCTTTTCCTCTATTTTTTCTTCTTTCCTTTCCTTTCCTCCAAGGCAAAACTCCCATGAAGGCTAGCATTCATTTTTATAACCTCAAACAGTTTAGAAGGAGTGTTTGCCCATTACCAGAAGTTTATCATTTTACAGGTAAGTTCTCAGAAATTTCATCATTAATTGCCTCCTCTTCTTCTTAATTTTTAAAAGTCTCCTATTTTGTCTGAGATACACTGACTACCTTAGAGCCACATAAATGCCAAGAAGGGTTACAAAAGGATGGAGGTGAGTCTCATGTTCCCGTGACACAGTTTCTCCCTCCTTCCCAATTCTAGACCTAGTATTGTGTTTGGCTCTATACAAGAGTCATATGTATGAGCAAGACTTGATGCCCATGCAAAATCTAAGTCTAGGGAGATATGAGTGCAGCTAAAAATGTAGTGGTTGGAGTGGATGTGGGGTTGGGGCAGAGTGGGATTAATATGGGCTGGAAGCGGAATTCACCTTAACAGAAAATTCCTTTGATGTCCTTTTATAGAAGGTTTCCATTTTTCCATAGATCAAAGTAAAAGCGATGCTAAACAAAGAGAAGTCATCAGAGTTTGGTAAAGAGATGCACAGGCTTTTGCTTTTCCTGAGAACCTTACTCTGCTCAATATCTATTTGCATAATACCTGATGGTACTGAGTTAAAAGCTGAAACCCATCCCTACTCATCCCAGCAGAGAGATTTGTGCTCAAGAAGAGCTTCTGGGATGCCCAGGCAAGGTAATTCTGCTCTGGCCCCACCCCAGTCCAGCTCCAGTGTTCTACCCACCAAGGACCAGAAGCAGTGACCACAGCAGCATGAGGTTGGAGGCAAGAAGTTCTTCCAGCAACAGTCAGGTGCAGCTCAAGTGCAGCTTAGCTCCTTAGAGCAGCTGTCTATCCACGTGGACCATGAAGCTTATACTGGGCACTGTGGTTTAGTGGGGATTTCATTGGAATAGAGAAAAAGGAAGTAGAAAATCTCTCTGTTTGCCAATCAGCATTATCCACACCTCAACCCCCACGAGTGCTGAGGGAGTAAATGTTCTTTTCCTTTACAGAGTTGCTCAGATGTATATTGATCAGAAATACTTCCTAAAATGTGAGACATCTTCATCCTATTGATAAGCTTTCTATCTCATTTGACCTGGCAGAGAATGCCAAGTTCTGGGCTTGCCAAGAGTCAAATCACTTGCTTGATCTTTTTCAAGGACAAATCTCCTTTACTATTTGATATGGTTTAGATCTAAAATGTCCCCCCGAAGACTCCTGTATTCAGAGGTGGGGCTTTCAGAAACAATTGGATTGTGGGGGCACTAATCTCATCAATAGATCAACCCATTGATGAGTTCACTGCTGACTGGTATGCCCTAATAGGAGGAATGGCCCAACTGGAGAAAGTAGATCACTAGGAGTTTGCCTTTGAAGAGTGCACCTTTCATCTGTCTCTCCTTCTGTCTCTGCTTTCTGGCTGCTGGGAGGTAAGCAGCTTTCCTCTACCAAGCCCTTTGTTTGTGGTGTGTCTACCTCGGCGCCTGATGATCATAGACTGAAACCTCTGAAACTGCAAGACAAACAACCTTTCCTCCTTAAATTGTATATGTCAGGTATTTTATCCCAGCAATGCAAAGTTGACTAACACAATACTCAAGATGCATAGTTTGTTATGCAGTTCCTAACACTGTGACACCATGCCAATACTGTATTGATGGTGCTCTATGGAAGAGAAAGACAGGAATTTGTTAGAAATGATGACAGCACTAGGGTGACACTAGATAATATTATGTATGGGCAGAAATACACAAATTCTGCTCAACCCAAGTCATCTTTCCCCATGAGATATTCTGGTTGAATGTATGCAGAAAGGAAGAAGCAATATGAGTATCAAATAGTATTTGAAGCTAAACTTAGCCCCAAACTACACTACAGTGGTCTGAAAAGACATTAACATACACAGGAGAGATCAGGTCTCTTTTTACACTCCAAAGTTCAATAATAAATTTTGGCAGTCATTGTATTAGGTATCCTTAGTGGTTAAAAGAAGGAATCTTAGATCTGGGGGTATAGGTCAGCATGCATGAGGGCCTGAGTTTAAGATCTGGCACAAAGAGAGAAAGGAAAGAAGGAAGAAAAGAAGGGAAGAAGAAAAGAAGGGGGTGAGGGAAGAAGAAAGGAAGGAAGAAAAGAAGAAATTTAATGCCTAGAGAGATGTGGCAGGACTAAGGCAATCACCTAAAGACATTGGACCATTCAGAGACCAGCTGCAGTGGGAAGCTGTTACAGGCCTTCCACTGTTATAAGCCCAAAGAAGCAAGAGGAGGAAGGACTGTTACAAAAGCCCAATGGGGACTGGAGTCACAGAGCAGAAGTTGCCAGGTGGGGCTAGGAATGTGGAGGACATAGCTACTGCCCAAGAGGAACACTGACAGAAGGGAAACAGCAGATTCACACTTATAATTAGCTATTTCTGACACAAATTCTCTTCAGCCTCTCTTTAGTTGTATGATGTGACAACTCCTTTTCCCTGAGTCATTTGC